CCCACCGACTGCCTTGGTACCTCTTATTGTGGAAGGAGATTCGGCTAATTGCTATTAGATGGGTCCAACGAAAATTTTAAGAAATCTTTAATGGGATTTAAGATAACTTACAAGGCTCAATTGATATCTTCTGGCACTCTTGGTGTGAATCTAATCACAGGTCCCCTAGCCAAAGAAGTAACACTTAGATCCACCCTGTTAAACAAGAATCTAATTTAAGTTGTTCCTGGTTTTGTAGTTACTATTTTTCACGCACAACTTTGGCCATGGTACAGATGTACATCAATTTTGTAAGTTCTAATTTCATAAATGCAATACAAGTTCATTATAAGAATGGTAAAGGGCTATAGATGAGTTACATGTGCTTCCAAAAAAATTCCATATTTTTGTACTAGTAATATGTAAGACTTAATCTCTTCCTTTCAGCATTTATTGGCCAATCTCTAACATTCTTTATTTGTTTGCTCTTTAGTTAGAAGAGCAATTAAGAAAGATTTAGAGAAAGTGACGGCTAGCCAATAATGAGAAAACAAATATGGGAAGGTAGAGATTATGCTACGAAAAGATTACCTCTTACATCTCACAAAATGTGAAAATAATGTGGAACAATTACAGTATGAAGCTTCTTAAAACTTTAGGGTAATTTACCTATAACCCATTTCTGTTATTTAATTGTTATGCATATGGTGTCTAAGGTATGGCGGTTCATAAGAAAATCATGATGTGAACTGGAACTAACCTCCATAAAAGATTGAATGGGATCATCCATGGATTGGTTTCTAAACAGCATATAGAGTTTATCGAGCATCAGATTTGAAATTAATGAGATTCAGTTACCAACCAAAGAAAAAGTTGCTATGCAATGTTTTGGATGGATATTCTATTGCTACATCTAATTCAAAAACTTATGAATCACCTCTTAAGATTTATTTATTTATTTATTTTTATTTATTTATTCATTTATTTTATGACAATATGAATCAGTGTTGGTTGAGGAGTTGGGTCAGGACTTGTTAGGGTTCTGAGCCTATGTCAGGTCTGACAAACTTGGCCAAGTCTGTCAGAGATTTGGCCGATTTCAACCCAAAAATAATAAAATAATGGGAACCTCTCCGAGACAAAAAAAGAAAAAAAAGGAACCCTCCAAACTTGGCCGGTTCCTGTGTGTGTGGTTCTGGGAATTGTACGCCAAATGACTTAGGTTAGACTGAGTGTTTGAACAGAGTTTTCAAACACTGGTTTGGATTGTGGAAGTTACATCATAATTATTACTTATTTTGTCTTCTAATCTCGATCAACAATTTGAAGGAACTTGATAAGAGAGGTTCAATTAATCTTTGATCCTCACTCTCTCCCATAATAAGATCTATTCTCAACCTTACAGTTTGTATAAGAAGCTTGTCAAATTGATTCTGGGGACCTAATGTATGACATTGGTGATCAACACTTGGTGGTCTGGGATGCAGAATTCCATTCCCTATATAATGCAAAATGCCCAATTACACAGCTTTTGTTCAAGTGCCAAGGAGAGGTAGCTTGGCATTAAGCAGCTTCTTGTCTCGAGCCTACACCCCTTTGTCAATCTGATTATTTTGTTGGACCTCAGAGGTGGTTTGTACCATGTGCCCAAATTCCAGAAACTGGGTTCATGTGAGGGAATTATCGGCTCCACCATCCTAGCACTAATTTTCTTCTGCTCGACTAGTTTGTGTGGATGGCCCTTTAAATTGGTGGAAAAGATGAAACAATGTGGTCGGATGAACCTATTAGGAGTAGAAGGAATGTATGTCAAAGAAGATGTAAAGAGTAAGATACAAAAATGCGAATATGCAAGGACATATATTGATTTTATATCGAGGATATCAAGATGGGACATATATTGCGTTTTTTTTTCTGACATGTCGAGCATTCTGGCTATAGTAACTTGGTGTGCATATTTAGTGGGAAATTTACAAGCATGTACATAACACTGTTGGAATGTGGGTTTCATATTTACAGCACTATACATCCTTATGAGTTATATGGGAAGTGTATACATCCTTACTAATTATATGGGATGGGTGACGTTAAATGTCTTCTTTGCCCTTCCATTCTTGGCTTGTTTAAAGCATTTTCCTTTAAAAAGAAGGCAGATCAAAGGAGAAGATTCGAGAACTCATTCTGATAGGGCCTCTTAACCATCTTCCTCTAGGCTTGGGTAGACATCACCCACACCTCCTCTCATCTTCTTCCCACAAGCATCTCTCTCTCTCTCTCTCTCTCTCTCTCTCTACCTCTCTACTCTATACTTATCTCTCTGTTTATCTCTATCTCTATCTATTGGAGCTCCTATATCTTCCTCATTCGTTCTTTGATAGGCAGATTACTGAACAATATCAATAGATTGCTTTTGGTTGGACCTCTTACTTCACCCTCCCTCCCTCCCTCCCTTCTACATCCCTCGCTCCCTCCCTCTATACTCAAGCTCTTGAGCTACTTTGCCCCCCTCTCTATCTTCTTTCCCAATCTATTTTCCATCTCTCTCTCTCTCTCTGGTCCCCAAGAGAGAATCTTGGGTAATGACACATGGGGTAAAAGATGCTAATTAAAGAGAGAGACTTGAATTTTGTCCAACTTGCCCAACTTTTAGCCTTTTCAGCCCTGCCATGTGATTAATACAAATGTACATCGCTGTAAACTTTGGACTGATGTTTTTGAGTTTGGGACCTAGGCAATTTTATGGATATGGTTGTGAATTTCCCTATGTAATATCATGCATGAGAAAAGACAACAGAGCTGGTAAGATTAGTTTTATATCAATTTGTGAAAGGAAGTGCGACAAATGTGATGCTCCTACTAATAGAATACTTATCTATTAATAACACAATTAAAGTTGAAAAGATGACCCCTTTGCGATCACATGCATTAGGGGCGATTATGTTTTGCTTTCTTTTTATTTACATTCTTTTTAAACATGTGTCCCCGTCTTCTCTTTGATCAGTTCATCTGGTTTCCTTGTTTCTTTTTCGCTGTGCTCTTTAGAGGGTTGCCCCCTGAAACCTCTGGAAAGAAGGAAATGACTCGGTGTCTCTTTGTCTCTTTGTTTTTGGTTCTTATTTGGTTCCTTTGCTTTCTATTGTTGTAATTTCTCCCTAGTTTGTTGTTTTTCCTTTGCACTGTTTTGGTTGCTGGGATCGTGTTATGATTTTACTGAGATTATATTGATCAATGTTAACAACTGAAGCAGCACTGAAAATGATGTTTCTGGTTGTTGGATGGTAGAGATTCTCCCTGAGAACTGAGAATATTTTTGATGGCCAAAAGGTTGAAAAGGAATACTACTATAAATTTCCTCAGCACCATTTGTTTTTTTGCCTGTCTGTTATCTCTATGCACTATCATCCGTTTCTTGCTTGTAGACTTTCAGCCTGAATATCAACATATCCATATATCATGTTCTTTGTCCTTTATTTTTCGTCATTTACTTCATTTCTTTATAAAGCTCATTTGAAATGGCACTTCAAGTTAAGGGTTAGCATTCACTATATTTCCTTGAAATTCTCTAAGCTTTTTGATCTCTCCATACAACTCTTGCATTTGTATGTTTTACCTTATCTTCTTCTACTGTTAGTGAATGTGATTTTTTTTTTCCAACTAGGAATTTTGTGTTTAGCACATGTTTTAGTATCCATCTCATACAAAGATTATAAAAAATAACAAAGTTTTAGACTTGAAGCAAAATTGGGAATTTTGTGGTTAGCTCATGTTTTAGTATCCATCTCATGCAAAGATTATAAAATATAACAAGGTTTTAGACTTGAAGCATTCAAGCAATGAATTGTGTGAGTATCTTTGTGGTAATCTGATGTTGAATTCTTTTATTTTCCTCCAAAGTTTGCCAAATTTGAGCTAAGATAGTTTTGATCAGAACTTGCAAGGCCCAGTTGCAAAAACTTTCCTTAAAATTTTCAAATAAATAATTCCCAAGAAACATTTATGAGAAGCATACTTAAGTCATAATAATTTTGTTGAAGAAACTTATTCATAGTTTCATACAACATGGAAGCCCTGTAACTCTGTAAATGGTACATCTCAACCCTATGTTCTCTTTTTTTTTTTCATTTCACATAAAATGTTTGAAATGCCATGTTTAATTATTTTTTCAGTATACTTAACTCTTCATGTAAAATAGTTGCATTCAGTTTTCTGCTTGTAAACAGGATTTCTGAACATGGTCCCAATTTTAACTGATTGAAACATTGAATGTGTCAAGCCAATAATGAAGTAAAATTCTCATTTCATTTATTTATTTTTTCTATTTTTGTAACGTATTTGAAAGTAATAATATTTCTGGGTATTTTGTGTATGTAAATACCCAACTTCTGTTGGACTAAATGCAGCTTCGTCAATAGTATAATTCAGCCATTTGAAGATAATAATATTTCTGGGTCACAATTGTGAGACCGCATTCTAGGCGGAGTTGGTCAGGGTGGTGGGTGCCACAATGTGACGTCTAGGTTCCATTGCTTAACGAGTCTTGAGTTAACATTCAAAAGGAAAAAGGGTCATAACCCTGTATATGTAATTACCCAACTTCTGTTGGACTAAGTGCAGCATCTTCAATAGTATAATTGAGCCATTTGAAAGCCTCCAAAACACTCTTCCAAAGTCTTAGCCCAAGGTCCTGTAGAGCCATCCCAATTATAGTCTAGATGCACCACTATTTAGGACCCTAAAGTATGTCCTTTTTATCCAAATTATAAACTGTGGTTGGCCATTTGATGTTCTTAAATGTATAATCATTTAGGTATGCTGCATGTGAAGTTGAGAGTCATGCCCTCCAAAAATTTATCTCAGGTATTGCTGCCACAGTTAGTTATTTCAGTATCCAAAGTGAACCTGAAGTTTAAGTAAATTTATATGAACTCAGTTTGAGTTTGTGTTGAAAACTTATGGCTCTGCCAAGTCAGGGCATTGGTATCGGATCAATCTGTTTACATGTGTCTGGTTTTCAATATATCCCATGCCTAGAACCTGATATTAAGTACGCATTTTAAACTATATACTCATTAAAAAGCAGCAACTATACCTTTCCAACGAGCCTTGTTGATCCAAATCCCATATCAGGATGTGAATATTTGCCCTTCGGAATAAGGTGTCACAATAGACTCATTGTGACTATCAAAGACTCAATGGTCATTTGGAGTGTCAATTGTTTGACATACCTCAACTGTACAATTTTCAAGGGTTTCAAAGTCCTTGTAACTGCTATGCAAGTTTCCAAATCAAATGACGAGAGTCAAAGACTTGAAAGTAAAAATTTCAAAACTTTTGGAAAGAAGGCCTGATTTCTTTCCTTTGTATAAATCCAACTTTGGCAACCCTTACAACCATCGCTAGTGTATATCAGTCTCTTGGTTATTATTCTCTAGGAAATTTTGGAACATGTGCATGCTTTGGTGCTGAACTCATGGAATTCTTGAATATTCCTGGAGGGCAAGGTTGAGATCTCATGCAGAGATAAAGATACGGGTGATACCATTTGATACAGCACACTAGAGGATTTAAAATTTTGTTTATCATTTGTAAATGATTGTTCGTATATTTTATATCATTTGTACTGCTGATCATATCACAAACAACAATTCTTTCTTTTTCATCTACTGAAAAAATTATTTTGCCATTGGCCTAATTTTACTCTTTATTTTGCTTCTGAATTTCTTGATTTTGTTGGTTCAATCTCATTCTTGTTCTTGTGATATGAAGGTTGTGACCAATGCCTTTTTGACTGGGAGCCCTGCTTTTGGAAGTTACAGTATCAGCCACAAGTTCTAGTTCGAAAATTTGCATATTTATAGAGTCGTGTGTAGATATTTGGTGATGGCAGAGAGAGCATGTGTTAAGCGCCTCCAAAAGGAATATAGAGCACTTCGTAAGGTAGAGATGGTCACGACTAGCCTTCTGATGAGATTTTATTTTATTTAACAATATATGCTATTCTTAGTGCAACATATAAAATATTCTCTATTCTTCTTCCTTACTTCATTGTATTGCTGTTCCATATTTCCAAAGATTTAGAAATTGAATTCCTTTGTTCTCTGTGTGCATCATCTTTTGTTATATACTTGTAGAAATGGTATATATTCTTGTGATTAACTTCAAGTTGTGGTTAGCATTCATGTATGTGTCTATGTGTATATGTAGCGACAAATACATACAGTATGGTAGTTATCTCCCTGAAAAATGTTGCCAGCCTCAGGCTTTCATTTTATCAAAGTTATGTTTATTGGTTGTTGACATTTGTTGTTGGTCCTCCCACTCATTTCTGCATAGTGTCCTTTTCTGTCCTTTGAAACAGGTCTCCAATCTACTTCCTGTTAGAAAACATATACCTGTGTTAATGCCAGTCTGATTCTTCCAGGACTAATTCAATGGGCATCATATTTTTCACTCATATTGATATTAAGGCAGAAAACACAAAGCACATGGACATGGCTGCTCTCGGTCTAGCTATCTGAGGACCTCGTATTCTCTATTTTTACTTCTATTGTTGGATATTTGTTAGGGCATTGTTTTTCTTTAGGCGTGTTAGCTATCCATTAGAGTATGAAGAAATGATGTAAATGAACATAACCTACTCCTTTTAGATGTTTCTTGTTTGATAAATAAACTCCTTTATAAGTGTTTGAGGACTTTGTAATTGGAGTCAAAGTTTGTTTTGAATTCTATTCTTATTTATTTGATAACTTGATCCTTGAATTTAGTCCAATGTTGGTGTCTTGATTTGTATTGACATTAACGGCTCTCTCTTATGGAGAAAATTCAAATGAAAGTACTTGGACTGAAGTAGCTTTCATAAGGAATTGTTCAATAAGGTTTCTGGGGGTTAGCAAAAGAAATTGCATTGGAATTTGAACTCTCATATCTGATTTGCACTTTCCGATTTGAAGGTTACATCTGTTGGTTGCTGACGTATTATTATTATTATTTTTTTCTGTTGGTTCTTTCTTTGATATTTCTAGGTCTGACACATTAAGGAAATTTAAAAGTTTCTGATTGAATGCGCCTGTAATCAATATTCATTGCTTTATTGTGCTAATTTTATGTTGTTGTTTAAATTGAAGGAACCAGTCTCACATGTTGTAGCACATCCTTCTCAAAGTGACATCCTTGAATGGCGTAAGTATTTGGGCATGTTTATCTCTTTTCTATGTTTTGAATTTTAAACGATTTGCATAAAAAATATGTTCTTGTTCTAATTGGGCGACATCATTTTTAGGAAAAATTACATCCATACATACATAAAATAGGAAATTACATGGATATTTTCTCAAATTTTATGCGGAGGTCCATTTAGTTTTTCCCAAATTTTCCCCTCTGATACTTAGAATGCTTTTGTATTTTATTTTATTTTTTGACTTTTTTGAAATAAAGGGACTGGTTCAAAGATCTAGATCCTTGGACCGCTTGACTTGCTTGAACGTTGTGCAAGCCAAATTTTTTGAGGTTCCAGTCCTTGGATCGGTCCTTGGACTGCGAATTTCAGAGTCCAGGGACCAGTCCGAGGTCACCGATGTTCTAGACCTCGGATCGCTTGGCTTCCACAATGTTCACGCAAGCTAAGTGGTCCGAGGTCTGCAACCTCGTCCAGTCCCAACATTTCAAAAAAATTTAAAAATAAAATGAAAAAGTAGTCCCAATGTTTGTAATGTTGGACTGAGGAATGCGCACAGGGTTCAAGAGAGCAAGAAGGAATCTCCAGTCGACATAACACTGTTGGAAACAGTGATCTCACTTCTCTTGCTAAGGACTATTCTGTTACTTGGATGGCATTACTTTTTTCACTAAGCTTCAATGGCATCACTTTCTTGGCAGGGCTTCGGCCTTTTCCCTAGTAGCATTACTAACATCTTTAGATTGCAAAAGTTCTCTTTTGCATTTAAGGAAATCAAAAGAAAATAAAAAGAACACAAAAACTAAATCCTTGGTGGTTGATGAAAAAAAGAAGTGTTTGGTGCTTATTCTGAAAATCTGATCAAATAAACTCAGGACTAGTTGTATGTTATACAATCAACTCTATCCAGATGGCTAGATCCAGCAATGATATAAAATTTCTATGGTTTTGACTTATTTAAAAGATAATATCATGCGGTTGAGGTGTAATTGAAATGCATTAAAGGTTTTTTATGATAAAAAAGTACCTCAAAGTCGTACTGAAAATATTCCAAAAATTTCTACCAAAGCTGTTTCAATCATTTGGCAAAGACTGGAAGAGTTGTCATATGGTATGTTAGCTGTTACACCTTAAAATTTGGCATATATGCATGTTCTCCAAATTGATTGACTTTTGAAATTGAGGTTTCAATCTCTCCCAAGAAGGGATACCTTATGTTTTAAAATGAAAATTCAAAATCAAATTAATCCACAATCATCAGTTTCAAATTTCAGCCATGTTTCTTATTTCTTAATTGTCAAGATTGAATGTTGCCAAGTTATTAGAAATGGGGAAAACATCAATTAAACCACCTTATTTAATAAAAAAAGAAAAAGAAAAGAAAAGGTTAAACCACCTTACAAAATCACTAGGGCAGTGAAATAATCTCTTTTAGCACTAGCATTGTTATTTTTAAATTTGATTTCACTTACGTACCTCCTTAGAATTGAGACCTGGGCATATTAGTATTGTCCTTCTTAAGTGTTCTGAGCCAAATGATTAAAATACGAACAAGGGTTTACAGTTAAACAAGTGAGTACCATATCGCAACTAGGGGGATTGTCACCATTTGGGAGTTCTGTGTTGCTAACCCTGAACAAACACATGTATTATTATCATATGGATTGGGCTGCTTAGTTGGTGCCAAAATACCGATTTGCTCTTTGTTGTTCAGGGTTCCCAATTCAGAACAAGGTCAATTTGGTCATTTTTACCATATTTTAAGGAGTTACCTGAGTGAACTGAAATTTAAGGAGTAACACTCTTAATGTTTTATGGGAATGATTTGACCACCTTAATGCATTTGTAAGGTGGTTTGACCATTTAAGTGATATTTGTTTAAATGTAAAAGATTGAATGCTCCTGAAAGTCATGCTCAAAATGTGTCTCTTATGCAAAAGATAAAATCTGATGGGTCCCACTCTCTCACTATTGGCCTCCATCATGCCAATGGACAATGATGACCCAATGTACTAGTTTTTGCCATGGTCCATTGAACAATGATGTCTCAGTGTACTATTTGTTTCCCCCGAGATAATATATATTATGGGTTTTCTTGTAAAGCATCCCAACTCTTTTTTTTTTTCTGAAAAAAAAAATTCAAGTGATTCAAGAAACAATACCAGGTTACATCATAATGTTAAATGTTACAAAGAGGGATACGAGTTGATCCACAGATTCCCTTTAACCCTGTGTTTGGCCAGGACCCCATGTCCTTGACCATGTAATCATGCATCTATCATCCATTTCTCTGCAAGTTTTATTCTACTGCGTCCAAAAGAAAATGAAAAAGGAGAGGGCCACTTGTGTCTTTTTCTTTTTGGCTAAAGGCCACTTATGTCACTGGAAATTTGTTTTCATCGCTCCTTTTTTCGCTTAACTATTAATTGTTTCTGTTGTTTCTCTGCAGATTATGTATTTGAGGGAAGTGAGGGCACACCTTTTGCAGGTACAATTTTTTTTGAATAACTTTCCTTCCAATAGTGTTAACTTTTAGTTCCATTTTATTCTTACTGATATATACCCTTCTAATGCTTCTGTCATCTAGGTGGGGTGTATCATGGGAAACTTAAGTTTCCTCCTGAATATCCATTCAAACCCCCTAGCATCAGGTATTCCATCATTCCATTAACTATTTCCCAAGTAGATTTATTCCTTTTAGGCTTCTTTTAGGTATTATAATTTGCTTCAAGAATTCATTTTCAAAAAAAAATTGCTTCAAGAATTATTATCTGTGCTTCCAATTACATTTGGTATTTTTTTTTTATTTCATTTTATTTTCATATTCTTTTTTTTATCATCGGAAACTCTAGTACATTAGATGGTGATATTCTATATTCCATCACCATCCATTTTATTAGGTGGTGATGCTCCATTGAATTATTCTTATTTGTTTTTATTGTTCAGTATCTGATGTTAATCTATTTCTATATGAATTATCTTGCTTTCGTAGCATGATTACTCCCAATGGGCGATTTGCCACACAGAAGAGAATCTGCATGTCCATGAGCGACTGTAAGTTTGAGATTAGGCGTCCCCCTTCTTAGAGCTAATCTTTTAGAAGGTTCATAGTTTTCTCTTTGTGACTTCATTTGAAACTTTTGCTTTGGTTCTTTTGTTCATCAGTTCATCCTGAAACTTGGAATCCCATGTGGTCTGTTGCGAGGTGAGAGTGTGAAATGAGTCTTTAAACATTTACTTAAACCTCTACTTAGGGTGCTTGTTTCGAATATTTTGGATCTGATTGTGATTTTGTGGGTGCAGCATACTTACAGGGCTTCTCTCATTCATGGTAGGTTTGACTACTACATATCACTTCCAATTGTGTGTGTGTGAGAGAGAGAGAGAGAGAGAGCTCATTCATGGTAAGTTTGACTGCTGCCTATCACTTTCAATGGTTTGAGAGAGAGAGAGGGAGGGACGGAGGGAGTTACGAATGATAGTTGTTAGCTTGTGAAGTAATTTATGGTAGCATCTTCTTACTGAGAAAGACCAGTTTTACTTACCCAAAAACAAATCGGAAAGAAGCCCCAATTCGGGCCATAAAATCATGTTATTTTTTTTCCTTGGAAATTCAACTTCAAGAAAAACAGACTGACTGGACCAGGTAGATGTCCTCACCCCTAATGTAACAAACTCAATGACTTTGTAAAGATAAAGAACAGTAAGATGGCCTATAAGCAATCGAGATTTTCTTTTCTTTTTTTCTTCTCCCCTTTCATTTCTAGTTATTCGCAATTAATGGAGCTTTGTCCTTTTAACACAGATGGACAATAGTCCAACCACTGGCAGTGTCTCAACCACTGTTGCCGAGAAGCAACGATTGGCACAGGCTTCTCTTGCTTACAACTGCAAGAAGTGAGCTCTTTCTTTTCCAAAGCCTATGTATTCCTATTCATTTTGTGTGTTTTTTTTTTCGTCTTCTTAGCATCTGTATCTTTTAATTGGGCAGTCCGGTGTTTCGAAAGATGTTTCCAGAGTATGTAGAGAAGTATAATGAGCTACAAAATGCTGAGAAATCGAATCTGGAGAGAGCAGCAGGGGATGATCAGGCCCATACTCCTGATGCTGCTGCTCGAACCAAGGTTGAAAACCGGGAAGATGAAGCAGGGGCAGTTCCAGAATTTAGAAAAAGGAGGCAGTCGAGGAAATTCCCTTTCTGGGTTTTGTTGTTACTTCTCTCTGTTTTTGGTGGTGTTATGGCTTTGCCATTGCTTAGCCTCGAGTTCAGCGGCCTCTGAACCCAAAGCAACTCTGTCTCGCTCTTAAGGTCTGTAAATTGACTTGTGACCTTTTGACTTGCTGGTTTTGGGCAATGGGCAACTTGCAATTGAAACTTGTATAGGAGGATTTTGTAGCGGACTCATGAATGAGTGGATTGGCATTTTGGTTTTTTTTAGTCTTGGAATATTAAGTATTCAATATTTTTTTTGAAGTTCAAGATTCTTGGAAAGTTTTGGTAAAATTTTATGTTGGCTGTTTAGCTAACACAACTCACTTCCTTTACCCAGGCTTGGGACGGGTTAAGATAAAGTTTATGATCCTCACTTTTCTTTGACCATTTTTATTGAAGTCTTCAATGGTGATATTTGGGGAGCTATATTATCGTAGGGAAAGTTGTGGGCATGAGTGTTGTGCTGACCCATGTATTGATGTGGAACCATGGGAGCAGTGTGACCACAGAAATTGACATTATTGGTTGGTGGTGGGTTACACTCCCAATTACTGTCCAATTGATTGATGATGGTAAACCCGTCACACTTTTCCTGATCAATAAACATCGGTATATATTTCCACTGAACCTTTTCGGAAGTGCTCTAGTCACTAGTTCTCTCCTTGATTATTACATGTTCGCATGTGCCCGTGTTCTTGAGAGAGCGAAAATCATTTCAGGCTCGTTTGTTAGAACAGAGCTCTTGTCGAAGTGTTCTTTCTGTAAAACCAACCTCTTTCTCATTCTTCTCTCTTGAACCCGGCCGATATGACCGTTATGCATTTATGTGAAACACTGCCTGTTGTTTTTGAAGCCACAATATATTAATTAAGGGTGGTGTCGAAATATTAAAGTTTCAAAAATAATGTAGATCAAACCGATCTATGAACACTTGAAAAGTTGACGGTCCATAAGTACATTATAAGATAGACTATTTTCGATACTTGAAATCTATGTTTTTCTCATGTCTATACATCATAAGGTCGCAATGATCAATTTGATGATTTTTGGATGTTGGAATTACCTATTATAGCGGATTTTGAAGGAGTGCCTTAATTTGATTGCTCAGGGTATTGCCCTTGATGTAAATTTTTTGTAGCAAATCTTTACCCTCTAAAAGCATATTTATCAAGAATTTTGTTTTCTTGGGTGTGTTTATGAAAACATGACGTGGTGAAACCATGCCACCTAGATTAAAACTCTGAATCTTTGCAGGAATCGAATGTGCTTGATAAGGACATTCATATGCCACCACCTTTCTATTGTATAGTTCTTGACTTCTTGCTCCCAGGGGACCACCATGAGCCGTGATATGTTTCCATATTGGAGTCACGTAATGTGGTCCTACAATAGTGCTCTATGCACTTTTTGTTTTTTTTTTTACATTTATCCAATTTTTTTTCTTCTTCTTTAAAAGCGATTGGTATGCACCACCCTTATAGTATGAACAAGGAAAGGAACAAATATAATTGCTTTCAATGGTGATAAGGGCTAACGAGAAAGAACTGAAAATTTTAACAGTTTAAAAGAGCAATAAAATTGTTCCTGATGGTCAAAAAAGATAAAGAATTGAAAATAAAAGGTTATTATTATTATTATTATTTATTAAGTGTTGCAAGCATAGCACTGCATGAAGGTTGCACCGAATTATTAAGACGTACGTGCTTCTTCCGTGAACAATTGAAATAATAAATATCGATTAGGTTGTGAGTTGGGAGCCAAACGGGGTATTGGCCGCAGCATTACTTGGAAATAAATTTCATCGTAAAAGTTTGAATACGTAACTAGGGGCGTTGGACGGCATTTACAAGAGGAAGAAATAAAGATATACAAATTTCTACTTCTGAAGATGACCAACCTAAGTTTAACAAAACACAGTCATCTGTCACCCACGACGGTCCTCCATCGCCAACTAAATAAGGAGCCCAACCATCCCAATCCTCAGAGCTCAAGCTCTCACGAGCAACTTCTACATGTATGCCCATTACCACCCTTATACGTAACGGAAAAAGTTTATATGAGGTTGACACCTTAAAGTGAACCTCTAAAATCTTTCGAAAAAAATTGTTTTGACGTTGGAAAAGTATCTCATTGAGAGGTATCCAGATGATTAATAAGAAGTACGAAGACAAATATATATTTCAAGTTCCAAAATAGTATATGTTGCTATACATTATCTAGATTATTGACCAACCATTTTTAAGATTTTCATGGATCTGTTTGATTTGAACTATTTTTTAAATTTAAAATTCTACATATCCATCCCAAAACTGCAGAAAAGTTTGAAGATCCATCTTTGATTTTTTTTTTTTGGCGTAGCAACCACCCGTAACTAACATCATGAATTCCTGTAATTGTAGGTACCGGATTCAACGGTCATGATCGCTCTGTCGGAACCAAGGGCCACGATGATCAGTCCAGATTGTTTCAATGGCTCCACGTGATTCATTCCGAGCCGTCCACCTAAATATAAAAAAGGCACACATTCATCCTAACGGCCACGTGTCCTCTGACGCAAATCATGAACCTTAAAAAGCCACCTGTAATTACTATTAAAAAGTGTGGTTTGTATAGAGCCGAGGCTCTAAACAATCAAAGTAAAACACGCCTTCAAAGTAAAACACGCTTTCAAATAGTGTTTTGAAATGTGGTTTCAATACTGCAAATCTTTGTCATAATCTTAAAATATATTTTTATTTTTAATAAAAAATAGTGTAGATCAAGCCGTCTATAAAACTTTGAAAATCTTGAAAATTAATGATAAAAAAAATGTGTTACAATATACACTATTTTCAAAACTTGAAATCTTTTTTTTTCTCATGTTCATACATCTTGATGTCAAGATGATGATATTTGAACATCAAAACAACCCCTTCCAGTGAAATTTTTGAGGTGGGTTCTAATTTGATTGTTTAGAGCCTCGGCTCAATATAAACTTTTTCCTTACTTAAAAGGAGGGTGGCCGATTCAGCTTTCCTTACTTAAAAGGAGGGTGGCCGATTCAGCCCTTGTGTAAAAATTCTCAGTCCACGTCATATAACATCAGAAGTGGAAAAGTACAAAAGAATCCTCGTCATCTCCATAATCCATATATGTTTGGAGAACGTAAGAAGCAAGCTGTTTAAGGAAACTACTTACTGGTCTTTAGACTCACGGACTAGGTGTTGCTTTCATTGGTGTTAAAACCTAAAAATCTTTATTTGTTTCGTTTTTAAGGTATAATTTCTTTCTTTTGTTGAATTCTTATGAAGTTACCGAATTTTAGGTTGATTTATTCAGTTTTATGAAGTGTTTTCCCCCCTTGTGTTGTGTTGGATACTTGTATTTGGTATAAGTTGCTTCCATGCTGAGTTTTTTGGTGAAATTAGTGATTTAATCTGCTTCATGGTGTGTATGTTCATCCTTCCCTTTGGAATTTGAATTTTGTTCAAATTCATTGTTTATTCTTTATTGTATTTATTTTTTTTTTGTGAAATTAATGGTTTATTCGGTTTTATCACCTTTTTCTTTCATTTCTTGTGTTTTTATTTGGCATATGCGCTATGGATGCTGGAAATTATTGAGTTTCTCTATATTTTCTGTTTAATTGGCTGTGTTTTTTTCCATATTGATTATTGTTGTTGTAAGACATGATTTGTTCTGTTTTGTTAGGTGCATTTATCCATCATTGTTGAGTTTCTTTGTCACATTTACAAGTGATTTGCTGGAATTTATTTGATTAATTAGAAGTTATAATATATTATTGCAATTCAGATTTGCAGGAACTTTTCTGTTGATTCCATTTGACTCATATATGTATTAGGAATTTAATCTTGTGTGAACTGTGATTGTTTCCAACAATCTTCGGTAATTCAGTATTGAATTCTTATGTCTTGTTCAGTGTGCTGGGACTCGCCTTGCCGAAGGGACATACTCCTAGCCAAGGTGAGTTACTCGGCCTAGTCCCGAGTCCTGCATAGAGTGAAGAGGCCCTATGTAAATTAAAAGTATAGGAGAAATTTTGAAAAAAGTAAAACAAGGTAGTAATTGTCAAATAAAACCAAAAAAAAATTTAAAGGTTAAAATAAGCTTAAAAAATTAGAGGAAAATGGAGTTAGAAAGTTGATTTACAGTTTGGAACATTTTAAAACATAAATGAAGGAAAATATAAAAATAGGGATTATGAAAAAATATATTCACCAATCTTTGCTAAAAAATCCAAATCATACAAACACATTTCTACATTTCTTTTCAAATTCTTTTACAATTTTTTTATAATACCCTGAGTTGTACACACAAATCAGGGTTACTCGGTCTTGCCCGTAGGGGGAGACCAAGTTACTAGCCTGAGTGTGAGGGCACTAGGGCGAATCCCATCACACTGGTCTTGATTCAGCATTAAGCTATGAAAAACCTCGAATTTGTGAGCATATGCCTTCATTGTGTAAGGGGTAGTGGAAAATATATATTGATCTTGCAAACTATGTTCCACTATTTTTTGAGATGTCCAGATTCATGTGTATCAGTTATTGGAGATTGTTACATCGTTTTGGTTACACTTGATTGTGTATGAGTTAAGGGAAATTGTTTCATTGTTTTGTTAGGTTGTCCACTGATTTTGAGAAATCAGGTTTTTGTGTGCTTTTCTCTTGCTTCTCTTGGATGTGACTGGAACATTCCCTTTTTTCCCCTTCGATAATCAAAATTTTACTAACATAAGAAAGAGTACCAAGCATAATTATGAATGGCGAGCAAAGTGTACCAAACATAATTATGAATGGCGAGCATCTCAAAGCCCTACCAATTACCCATAGCACAATATTCTTGGTATTATTTTCCAATAAACATGACTAATAATCGAGATTTTTATTTTATTTTACACTTTTATTGTTTTAGCTTTTCTCTTGATTCCAAGAGAGGTATTGGAACGTCTAAGAGAAAAGCGAGGTATTGGAGAAATTTTGATGGACATCAACATGATTGGTTTTTTTCCCTTGAATCAAGATGATTTTGTGAAAAATTCTTTTGATCTTTGCAATGATTTAGATTAATTATTGGTATTTGAAGAAGAATTCCTTCTCTCTTTGCAGTGATTTAGATTGATTTTAGGAATTTTAACCATATAGTAGGATTTTGATTAATTGTCTCATCTTTCGTTTGTTTTTGAGATACTTCTGTGTTTTGTATTTCCAATTGCATACATTTCCTCTTCAAAGATTCATCATGTGGTCTGAATTTGTGTTATATTGCTTTGAGACATATAATTGAAGTTGCCACGATTATGATAGATAAAAGCAGAAAATAACTATGTTTTGTACAAGGTTTTTCGTTTCTTTACTGGACTGTAAATGATTGGATTCAACATATTATGTCCTTAATTTTCAATTCAAGTATACCATCAATGCGTACCCTCTTCAAGAAGGAAACATTTGTTTACATTAAAGACTAATTTTGTTTTAATAAACTAAAAGTGATCTGATTCATCAGCTGTTTCCTCTGAATGCATTGATAGAATTGGTAATTTGATAGCATGAGGCCAACCACCTCGGTGGTGAGGCCATTGGCATCTAGTGGACTCTATAAAGTACGGTTCCATATTTTCTGAATTTTGAAAAGCACTACTTTTAACAAGATATGTTATTGAAATTGCAGTGCTTTGTACCATGTATGGGAATGGCGTTGTTGGAATATTGTCTGAGTCCTGCAACTTATGGGAAAGGAGAGCTCCTCTGAACCCATCACATTGTGCCCGTCTTCTACACAGTGGTAGCAATAAAAGTGGAATAGACCGCATAATTGTGCAGCCATGCACAAAACGCATTCACCATGATTCTGAGTATGAAGATGTTGGTTGTGAAATATCAGATGACTTGTCAGACTGTGGCCTCATTTTGGGAGTCAAGCAACCAAAGGTTCTGATTTTTCATAGATGCATGCTCTCTAGATCTCATGAGAAGTAACTATCTCTTCTTTGTAAATTATCTAATTGCTGATTGGCTTTTGATGTGGATTTTTCCTGTCTTGCAGATGGAGATGATTAAGCCTGATAGGGCTTATGCCTTTTTCTCCCATACCCACAAAGCTCAGAGGGAGAACATGCCTTTGTTAGATAAGGTATCTTCTCATAAACTTACATGTGAGGAGTAATGGGATGGAATTGCTGGTTCCTGAGAGATGGGCTTGAATCCCAGAAGGTTAATGGATATTTTTCTTTTGTGTAGATTCTCAAGGAGAGAGGATCCTTATATGACTATGAGCGTATGGTTGGTGAAAATGGTAAAAGGCTGCTGGCATTTGGAAAATTTGCTGGCAGAGCTGGAATTATAGACCTTTTAAGTAGCCTGGGCAAAAGTAAGGAGCATCAGAACTTCAGATTCCTAGCTTCAATTATTTCCAAATGTTTTTTTATTTTCTTTTCATCATCCTCCTAGCATGTTTGTGGAATAGCTTTCCACTTTGTTTTATATTTCAAATCATTTAACTTTCATAACCAGTGTGAAATAACAATATCGAGGAAACTTGGAAAAACCTATTACCCATCAATTATCATACTGAAGATTACTTATAGTTTTCCTTATTTCTTTTTGTTACTCAGAGGTCTTCCTATGTTATTGTTTTCTCATAAGTGGGTTTGCCTTTTGCAGGATACTTGAACATGGGATACTCTACACCTTTCCTTTCACTTGGAGCATCTTATATGTATTCATCTCTTTCTGCAGCTAAGTCTGCAGTGATTGCTGTGGGTGAAGAAATAGCAACACTCGGACTGCCCTCTGGGATATCTCCTGTTGTGTTTGTGTTCACAGGATCAGGAAATGGTAATATAGATTTTGTTCAACAGGACATGCTTTGCTTCAATAGTTTCTGCAGATTCACATTTGATGTAGATGCCTTTTGAGAAAAGGTTTAATCTCTTGCCACAAATAATTGGAAGCAATAAATCATTAGCTAATATTCTCCTCATAAAGTTAAGATTGTCTTCTTAGAAATCAATGCTTCATTGCAATAATTTTTGTGATTCATGCAGCACACATCCTTTCAGAGAGACTAGTTTGTACTTTTCTTCATGGCCGAGGTTGAACAATTCATGTTCCTTCTTGAAGTGTATGTTGCTCTCTAATACGTTGGTAAGGGTCTTAGAAATCCCCTTATCCTCATCCCATTATGATGATGAAGAATCAATCTCTTGGAATTCCCCTTTTGGGTTTGGTCCTCTATCGAAATGCAGTATTTATGAAGTTTATGTTGGATTTCTTATTTGATTCCTGGGTTTTAGGAACTTCAGTGATTTCCAAGGAACTTCAGTGATATGTTGTAGGAGCAACATGCAAAGGTCTTTTTTTCCAATTTGTTAAGGGTGTGTAATTCTGAATGTGGACCACACCTAAAGAAATGAGAAGTATTCTATGATAGATTCATTCACATATTTATTCCAGTAATTTCCCAAAGAAGTAGAACAATAATCATCATTGAATGATGGTGTTAAAGAGTCAAATTACTGAAATTTCCTGATCTTGTTTTTGTCCTTTGTCTAATCCTGTGCATTTCATGTTCCGGCAGTTGTGATTTGTAGAATTAACAAAAACTATGCCAGATTTCTATTGGATTCCTTGCAAGTAGAGAAGTCAACGGATTTTGTTTGAGCAACATCCATAGCATTTCACTTATTTTTTTGTCAAGGGAAGGTAATATGTAACTTGTGAGCATATTGGAAGAATTATATGAAACCTCACTCAAATAATGATTATGGAAACTACCCTATTAAAATACAAAGATGGAGAGGGAAGAAGTCTCTAAGGGAAATAAACGGCATAGAGTACAACTGTGTGCATATGTAAATGTGCCTAAAGGAATAAGTATAAAGTGAAGTGTTCTACTAAATACTTGCTCAAACAAACCGGGCATCAATAGAATGTTTTGCAAGTTTCTTAAAAAGTAATTGGTGTGGAGTACCAATATGGGTTCAGCAAACAAGCTAACTAGCTGCATAGAAGACGAACTTGAGTCAAGGATAAGTTGCCATCAAGAAAGTTACAACTGACTGGCTCAATGTACTTGGTTTGTTCATAAAAGGTTGGGCCAGATATAATTTGGATAATGTACTTATTATCACCAAATGACATTGATAAAATCTTCAACTACCAAACCTGGTTGCAGCTAATGGAACCAACGAACTTTAGCAGTTTATATGAGCTATGGCATGCTTCTCAGTCTCCACCAGAATGAGCTACAATCTATCTATTTCTGCCTCTCCAATAAATGAGAAAATCCATGGTAAAACTAAAAATTCTTTAACTAGATCATCTGTTATGAGGTTCATGACCATGTTAGCATAATCTTGCAACTGAATGTCATCTGTTACGAGGTTCATGACCATGTTAGCATAATCTTGCAACTGAATGTAGGAGGAGTAAGGAACACTTTGGAGGAAATCAAAGACATATTTCAAGGTCTAATGGGCCATTTTGAGATGAATTGAGTAAGAAGCAGCCTGAATTTGTTCAATACATGGATTATGGACTGATTTCTAGCCTTTAAAGAGTAAAATAAATCTAAATATCAATTAACTATAGTTAGTGATATGAATTGAATAGATTTAATCAGATAAAGTAACACAACTCCATAGATGTGTCAACAATGATTCCTTCAGTTGGATTGGGTTATTATCTCGGAATACCCCTTGGGGAGTAGCATTTTCCTTTTCTAGAGCATTGGTTTTGAATTTTAAAGTTTTAGTCCAATACTTAAACAATCAATCATTTTGAACAATATTAGGTGCTTTTTTAACGTTTAAATGGTAGTGTATGAATGTAAATGCATTTCGGTCTAAATAATATTGTAGGAGTTGCCTGCGTAAGAAATGTTCTTAGTAGCAGTTGGTATCTGTGACTCATGAGATACAAATAGAAAACACAAAAATGACCAATATATCTTTATTCTTCATGTTTGCATGGACTGGTATTTCTCATGCAATTACTTGTGTGCTGTATTTCCATCCTTTGCTTTTCTAGGTCCTTGCACATATTGCACTTAATATGATATTCTCTGGAACAATAGTTTTCTCCTCGTTGCTCTCTCGAAATACTTTCTCGACACTCAAAAACCTTTTTCTTTGCAGTTTCTCAAGGTGCACAAGAGATTTTTAAGCTTTTACCTCATGCATTTGTTGATCCATCCATTCTTCCAGAACTCGTTGGAACGGTAAATGCAAACTCTTTGTTTCATGTCTCTCCTCGTGTTAAATGGCCCTTATATTGGCTGGATCTTCAGAATTTTCCACCAAATATCTTCTGTTGCATTACCTTCATGCATTGGATGTTTAGATATTCATGCAATATGAATTCACTTTGCTAGGGCAATTTTCATCATGTTTGAAACTCTCTTGGCTGATCAAGTAAGGAATCCAATTAATTTTTTTGTGCCAGTGCCAATTATCATGCAGACACAGTGTATAAACGTAATCTGTTTCTCTGGTGTTATTTGCATGTTAAAGGGTTCTAGATGTTCTTGTAATTTGTCACGTTGTAAACTGATTGATGTGAATGAATGTTATGTTGTTATGAGTTTGTTTTTTATTTTCTTTATTGACTATTGTTATGAATTGCTTGTGGCATTTTACCAAAAGTTACTGCTTACCTTCATGGTAGTCCTATAGAATGCTAGGACACAAAGATGATGATTTAGATGAATACATTTAGAAAATTTATGAGTTATAGTGGCCGATATACTGACAAAATCAGTAGCATTTTGCACAATTAGAGGAGAGAAATTATTTGAGAAATGATTGTTGTTGCATGAGAGTGATGTGTGATGTGTTAGGGCCTATGGGTCTTGATGCCATTGTTGTTTATTTCTGTCCATTTTCCTGCATATTTTATCCCCATTTGCTTGGGAACTTAACAACTTTTGTTCCTAAGTACAGTTTGTTTACACTGTCAATGAATGTCAAAAGGGGCACAATGTCCATAAGGATTTTCTTTATACTCATTGGTGTAGTTGTCAGTATTACTGTAATTTTAATGTACTCTTGGCTTTACCTGAAATACTTGATTGGTATCGTACTTGGATCTCTCCATGTTCTATTCTTCACATGGTTTCATGCATATAATCCAAGAACTCAAGCTTGTGTCCACAACCAAAACCTACCAATATGGAAAAAGAGGGATATCGGTACTTCTAGTAGGTGGTTCCCCATCCTAGTGAGGTTCCAACCAATTAGATTCGAGCTGTATTTTCACTTTTTAAAGGTTTTTCAGTAGTTTAAATGTGTGCTTTCTATGTCAAACTTGTGACATTAGCTACCATGCACTTATCACAGAGAAGGAAAGAATTTAGTTTCCACACGAGTGAAAATTGATCGATTGAGTTTGTCTCACTTCATAAGGGTTTCTGTTGAAGTTTGATCTGAATATGATAAAGGAGTGGTGATTCCTTTCATTTATTTCAGTTGCCTTTTCCTTGTTGAGTTCCTGACTTTTAGGACAGTGGCCCCTACTGACCTAAATCTAGTATTTCCATCCTTTGACCTTTGCTGTTAGCAGCTAATTGTGTTATCTGTGTGGCACTAAATTGCTCCCTACAAGCAAAATGAATGACATTTTCTTCAGTTACCACTCATTGTTGCCTATTTGCGGTATGTCAATGTCTCTGTTCTTGTTGCCTCACCCTCTGGAGGAGTTACAAATATTGAAAAGAATCTATAAATGGGCTGGTTATGTCTTGGCTAATCAATTTGATTTGGGCAAATAAATTCAAGGGTGATGTATTTATTTACAGAAAGGAAGTTTGGGATCACGTCCATGAGCTATATTTCCAAGGTAATAATGCTCATATATATCAATTTAAGGAACATGTATCTTTCAATGGGATGAAGAGAATATATTTCTCCTTATGTGAAGAACCTCCATGTTCGTATTTAGCTATTCTATTAGACTTCTTCCTCCATGTTCTTATTTAGCTATATTCTATTATGACTTCTTCCTGCACAGTTTTTAGATGTTAGCACCACAAATGAAAAGGATAAGGTGTTTCATTTGCTTCTAGTCTTATATGTTGACATGAATATTTATATGAAGATTCAAATCCTTGCGATTTGTAGTTCTCTCTATATGAGTTTGGCGGTTGAATTTATTGAACTATTTTATAGTGCTGATTGTTGTTCCATTTATTGTTGATTTGTTCCCTCTGAGGTTGAATGCACTACTCAATTTCATGACCTTCATTTGCTTGTAGGATGCATTAAATTTCTGTCATATTTCCTCTCTTTCCGACAATCTCATTTTTTGTCTTTTATTTTTATTTTAATAATGCTCATGTCCATCCTATCTTTCCAATCTAGTCTGACATATATTTGATGTTTTAGTCTTCTAGTTGTAAGTTGTTAAGGCTATCTAGATCTGTATTTGCACTGAAGAGGGTCATGCGCACACATTCTATGTTATAAAATAATTCAAAGCTTGAATGGATTGATAGGATTCTCCAGAATCATACAAGGGTTGAGAGTTTGAATCTTTATTTATATACGAAATACTGGTCGACCATTTCTCAAAACTTTCTTTTGGTCTCAATATTCCTCTGCACATTGCATGTTTCTTGAATGCTACAAAATCATTTATATTTTGAAGGTATGGGTGGGTTGAGATTTTGGGTCTCTCATTCTTATACATAATATAGGCTAACCATTTCCATATTAAAAAAAAAAGAAAAAAAGAAAAAATAAAATAAATAAATTAAAAAAAAGAAAAGAATATATATATATATAGATAGGTTAACTATTTCTTAAAACTTGCTATTTTTCTGACTATTCATCTACAAATTGCATGTTTCTTGCAATTTGCTTGGGTCTCACCAGCATCCATAACTCATGAAGGTTCACTTATTCTTTGTAGGATGGAGACCTTGTTCAATCACGGGCATCAAGGAGAAACTTCCAAGTATATGGTTGTGTTGTAACTTGTGAAGACATGGTCACACCTCTGGACCCAGCAAAAACATTTGATAAGGTAGACATTCTTTTTCTTCGTTTTTTAAGAATGAAAACATGTTCTTTCTTTGATGGAAAATCCAATTATAAAGATGAAGTGAAATTGTTTCTTAATATGCATGCTGCAAGTCTTATAGAATGAATAACTCTGTACCATAGCACATTCATCATCTGTCTTAAGGTAGATATTACAGTAGCTGCATATGTGAGTCGAATAGATAGTAGAATATCTTCAAGTCTTTGAATTAGAAAAAAGTTTGAGGGTCAATAGTTATGTATCTTTGCATATCTTTATGTGATAGTGGAGAGATTAGGGAACTTGGAGGAGACTTCCCTATGCCATCCAAATTCCAACACAATTTTAACAAGTAATTATGAATATCCATTTATCCAACACAAATTTAATTTTTCAATCATTGACGAATCAGTCTACTACCCCAGCACATGCCTTGAGAACCCAAAGCCTAATTGTATGGATTTCTTAGGAAGGGCTACTGGCTTGAGCTAACAATAGAGAGAAGTGTGGTGTTCAGAGAGGTGTTATTAACAAGGAAAATGGCCATTACTTGGGAACGGGATGCAGTGTGGATAACTGCGGCGGAATGAATTAGTATTGCGAAGGCACTGACAAGCATGTTTATATTCAACACATACACATTATGCCCAACTTGGCTAAAAAATAGCTTCGTGCAAGTGACACAGGATACAATACCGAGGTGTTGGTATTCGTACATAGGGTTCTTATTTTTTAATATATTAACTAAATTAATGTGTCTAAGTCTGTGGGAATGCATGTCCAACGATTATGATAGATACTCCAAAATTTTGGATGCAGGTATACATACCATGGATGTATGTTTCTAAAATTTGGATATGTGTGTCCAAATTTCTGGAAATGTGTATAAATGTCGATACAGAGTCGTCTGATGTGCCTGAGATTATTTAAGACCCTTTTGGTTACGTATCCCAGATTGTGCTCAGAGGCATGTCTTGGTTGGGAAATGTCAACTGGCTTGTTTGATGTGTCAACACACGTATCGGTGCTGTGTCATTCTGGACACTTGAACATGTCGGACACATGTATCTGTTATGCAGGCCATTCTATTTGTCAGGCTAATGTCTTTTCGCCTGCTACCCTTCACATAATAATACTTTAGGAGCATCAAAATTCATAAGTCTCAATTGTTCCAAATTTGTTTGCTGTAATATCCAGGCTGTTGCTCAATTATAGTATCGGACGTTAAACCTCCATTGGTATCCAAAATACATTGCCTTTGATGCACAAGTCGTCTGATTGATAACACATCTGGCTTATTGTTCTCCTCAAGGACAACAAATACGGACTACATTTTTTTCTCTTTTTATTTTTTTTTGCCCTTAAAATAATTGCTGAAGTTCAACTAAATGTGATGTCATTCCTGTGCAGGCTGACTATTATGCACATCCAGAACACTACATTCCCATTTTCCATGAAAGAATTGCACCATATGCATCGGTAATGGGTATGTTAGCAATTACGAGAATTGGATACTTATGCCGATATCTCTGTAATAATTTTAAAAATTGTTTTTACATTTATTCTCCAATTATTTGACACATGGAATCCATGTTTGGTAGTAGCCATGCAGCTTTGAGTGTTCATTCATGTTGGAATTGATATATCTGATTCAACATTTGCATATTGCTTCATCTTATAACTCCTTATTTTAGTGAGTTGAACTATTGGATTGTAATGTTTCTATCATTTTGTTTTTCTAATTTGAAATGTTTGCAGTGGCGGCATGCTCACTGAAGTTCATCAGTCCAGTTGATGATAATGATACATTAACCTATTGATGAAGTTTGGTTTTTGAAGCATATCTCTTGCTAGAGAGTACAACTAGAATGGTTCAGCCACTGTTCAAAAATTTGGCTGCCTCGCCGCCTGGGCAGTCTAGGCAGGTCACCGAACCGAATGGGCCAAGGCGTGTGCCCTAGGCAGCTATGTTGCTAGGCATCCGTCTTTTGCCCAAGGAACCCACCAAATGCCTCATCTTATAAAAAAAAAAAGGAACAAAATTTAAAGATATAGCCCCCTTTAAAAACAGAATGTTAATGTCATAAACAAAAGTACGTAATCCCCTTTAAAACAAAGTTAAAAAATGTAAAGAGAAGACGGCATGGTTCAAGACATAGAAACAATCTCAAGTATAAAAAAATTGCCCTCTCATCTCTCTCTCTCTCTCTCTCCTTGTTTTTCTTACTTGCACAAATCAGAGTGGGATGCTGGGATTAATAGAGACAAACAGTAAAGGAAACCATAACTGCCATTAAGATTGTAGGAACTCTCTCCTCCCTTGCTTTCCACCTTGAGAATGAAGATGTAATAAATGACTACTAAATATTCTTGCAACACATGCTTAGGGGATTCTTATGATCTGAAATTTTCGAAAACATCTTAAAATCACAAGATGCTTAATTTTAAAAGTTAATAGGAACAGAGGATTTTGAGTTCCTAACACCAACATTTGACCATCCAAAAAACGGACGATCTATGTTCACTCTCAAGATGGGTTTTTCTTCAGGCTGTTTTAGGATGTCAATTAACACTTATTTTTTTAATTAGTCACCTGGATGAAGAGAACTACACCTAAACTTGAGTTCCAATAAATCCTATTAAGTGGTTTTTAACCCACAGGTGTAAATGTACATCTTGCTCCTGTGTGAACACTTAATGTCTTTCATTTTGAGAAACTCTCTGGTTTTTGTTGTTCTTATCTCTTTGTTCAGAACATTAAATGAACTTACCATCTGTGTTCTTTTAGTGGACATCTTTCTAAGCATATGTAATGACTCTATATTTACAAGTAATTATCTTAGTTTATGTTTGGGTTTTTCAAGTTTTTTACAATTTTTCCTGCTACTTTTCAGTTACGTATATAAAACATTTTATATTTGATTATCCTTTGAGTATATTTTTTCATTCAAGTGTAAAACCTTTTGTGTTTTGTGGTATTTTTGCATTCCAAAAATGTCATGAAAATAACATATACCGATAAAAACCAATGAAATGTTGATTATGAACTTTGTGGCGCTTTTTCTTAAATACTTTATTTGTGGGTTAGTAATATAAAATATACTGGTTTTTCTGTACGGCAGTGAATTGCATGTATTGGGAAAGAAGGTTTCCTCGATTGCTTAGTACTAAGCAATTACAAGACATAATGAGAAAAGGATGCCCACTTGTTGGTATTTCTGATATAACATGTGATGTCGCTGGTTCAATTGAGTTTGTTAATCAAATCACGTCGATAGAGAATCCTTTCTTCAGGTATTTATTTTAAAAACATGCAGTTAATTTACTAACTCTCTAGAATCATATTCCCTAAATTTTGCATATTTGTGTATGTTGAATATGTTTAACTTCCATGAAAGATTGATCCTAATTCTTACTATGGGTATGACTGGTATCATGAAATACAATTGCCAAGGGTGTATTAGCTGAAGCTTTCTAATCAAATATTAAGTGTCTTTTAGATGTGAGAATTATTTTCTCTTTTATATCCTCTTAACATCATCTATAACCTCAGCTATTTTATTCAATACCTTGTGATATTTCTTCATATCCTCTTAATTCTTATCTATACCCATACGTAGTTGTACGATCAAGCATGCCTTGAATTATTTAAACTTTTCTTGTGATTTATTCTTTAGATTAGGTGAATTGATCAGCCACACACTTTTGTATATTTAGGATTGTTGCGTACGTCTCTCTACGATATTAACAATTTTTCATATATTATGTCTTCATATTTATTGTTATTTTTTTATTCATTGGGGAAAACATATCTTAGTTCTTGGTTTATAATAAAATGTTGATTACCAGGTACAATCCCTTCACAACTTCGTATCATGAAGATATGAGGGGTGAGGGTATAATATGTCTAGCAGTTGACATTCTTCCAACTGAGTTTCCAAGAGAAGTAAGATTTTTTGATTTATTTGCTTTAATTTTCATTTATGATAGAGTTTCTTTGATTCGTTGTTTAGTTTTTAGTGTACTATTCTCTCATGCACTTGCTCATATTTATACCATATTATATTTTTTTTGTTAAGGCAACCCAATATTTTGGAGATGTCCTATCCAATTTCATTGGTGTCTTGGCCTCTACGATTAACATCTCAGATTTACCTCCTCATTTAAGAAGAGCTTGCATATCTCACAAAGGAGTGCTTACACCTTTATATGAATATATTCCCCGCATGAGAAATTCAGACTCAGTGTAAGTTTTTTTTATACTTATCTTTCACAAAAATAAGTCAGAGTTATCCATCTACAAGAACAGAAATAAAAGATTTAGTTTGCTTTATTTTTTGTCCATAAATATTTATTTCAAGTGCATGATCATTTTTATAGAGTCATTCAGCAAAAGCAATTTATTTGTTGCCGTGATTGTTCTTGGTTAACCCATGCAATTTACTTTCATAGAGTTTTTTTACTTTCCTAATAATCAAAATTGTATTACTAATTACATTTATTTCTTTATTTTTCCATTAAAACAAGTTTTTCCTCATCCATCTCCACGCCTAGAGTTTTTCCTTTTCTATTCCCACACCTTACCTGTAAGGGCATTATTCTTGTTGATGTATGTCAAGTTCCTTCTAGATGAATAGTTGTTCTGGGACCCATTTTTCCTATCCTTGGTGATGAGATCATTAAGTGGCATTGGGAAAAGAACTTCATATGCATAGGACTGTAGTCTGGATTTCACCAACAATGGCAGAGAGATTGCATTCTCATTGTTGTGCCTTTTGTTTTATGCTTTAATTATGACCTTGACTGTTCAGATGCCAAACCAAAGCTTCATTCACAAATGAATGGAAAGGAATTTCAGCATTTCTTTGTGAAATGGACATCATATTTCTTTTGTTTGGCTTTCATACTTATTTGAAGTTAGGATTTCAGCCTAAAGTTTGTGAAGTCTTCAAAGAATTTTGCAGAACCTCCAGACTTTGTTTATCTCATTTGATCAAGGTTTGAACTCCTTGATGTTTTTGTCAAAATCGGTTGCCATATTCCTCATTTTATGAATATATCATGCATCCAGTATCCGAATCTTGGACGAGTTAAATTTTGGAATGTTTATTTTACTATTAAAAGTTTATATTAAAGATTGGAAAAGTTCCATTCTAGAATACATTTGTTATTGCGAAAGTTTCTAGGATCCAAATGTCTATTATAAATAACTATAGAGAACGATATTGGCATGCTCGAATGGATATCCACATCCATAGAGAAACAGCTTCTAACCTCGTAAAAAGAAAAGATGATTGAAACTCCCACTTGATGTTCATGATCTAGGCAACCTATATTTGAAATGTTCAAGTTTTGATTTAACGACTTTGTATATGGATGACCAGTTTTTCGTGTTTGTTTTCATCTCCATCCGAAGATATTAGTCATGATTGAAATTTTAAAATTCGTAATTGCTGCAGTGATTCACCACTAAACCCTTGCAATAGTCTCCCCAAGAAATACACAATATTGGTAAGAAATTGTGTTCTTTTCCATTCTCATTAGCTTGTGCTAGTTGAATTTTCTTTTGAAAAACAAGTTTTCATTATATGTAAGTCCAATGATCATTCCGAATATAACAGGTTTCTCTTAGTGGTCATTTATTTGATCAATTTTTTATCAATGAGGCATTGGATATCATTGAGGCTGCTGGGGGTTCATTTCATTTAGTGAGATGTGAAGTGGGTCAAAGTGCAGATGCCTTGTCATTCTCAGAACTTGAAGTAAGTACACTTTGACAAAATAATATTTTTTCATGGCTAAATTAAGTTTACATCAAATATTTGCGATATTATAACGAATATTAAGCAGTATATTATTGTTCTTTACATTTGTGTTTTCTTTGCTAAATTTCTCTCACATTTGTTCTTTCTTTGTTAAATTGCTCTTTTATGTAGCCCTCAAGAAAACCTTTTTTTGTTTTTTTTTGCCTAATTCTCCATGAAAGTAAACTAATTTGAATGTTTCTTTCTTCTTCCTTTCTATTTGGATTAGCTTTGGTACCCTGATGTTTGCTTCTTGACTAACTATTTCTATTGTCTTTTCTTAAGAGTGAACCGCATGGGAAAAGCTCATTTTTGTGATGCTTAAATCTCTACCGAAAAACCCATCAAAGGACGCTAATCTTGAGTTATATCGAGTTATATTAGACGATATTTTGTTTTATTTTGATAAATAAGAACAATGTTAATTAATTGAAATTTTTTGTGTATTTTGATAAGTTTCCCTAAATTCGAGTTGTGCTTTTTCTATTATAGGTTTCGTATTTAATAAGCTTGGTCGCTTAAATTGTTGTATGTCAAAAAGGACAATTTTAAAACTTCTCGCACTCCGTTTTGTTGACAAAATTAGTGTTATACAAATTGCTTTTAATAGTATAATATTTAATGAAGTACAATGAAGTTGACTTCCATTTTATTTGTGAGAAGCTTATCGATCGACTTATTTCTCCTCTCATGTTTCCAAACCAACCAGGCAACTGATGTTTACTTTGGCAGTTTCTTGTTGTCAAACTCTCACTGATTGACATTGGGTAGATTATGTATTAGATTGTGGATATTGTTGAGTTAGATTATGTATCAAATTGTGGATACAGTTGTAAATTGTTATAAATGAACTCTTCCACAATATCTCTTATATTCTTTATTTTTTTTGTTGTCATGTTTATAACGTGTTATTTTCCCCTCGGTCACTTGTATATTTGCCCAAAAGATCATTTGTTGATAAACATATCATTATCTCTGACTTCAACAAGCAAGGTTGTGGCCACAAATACAATCTAAAAGAGTACAACCTAAAATTTATCCCAAAAAAATTACATAGTTTAATGGTTAAACCTCCTAAAACATGTCTTGAGGCCTACATAATCCTATAAAAGGTGGATGATAGAGAAGGATAGCTTGAGTTAATAATATCAGAGGTTCTATTATTTGTCGAGAAAAATTTAAGAGGTTGTGTAATGGCTTCCTCTTTGATATTCCTTTTAAGGAATAAAATATTGATATCAAATAGAAATCTGCCATCCACCTAATGTCACAAGAGAGGATGCAAATAATATTTAGTTGATTATGAGGATGAAAGTCCCATCAAGGATACGTACTTGGATCCATGGGGCCGAATATCTCTTGTCTCCTCCTTTAGTCCCATAGACAGCAAAGAGGTGAATCCTCCATTTAGGGTTCACGAACATTTGGTGGGTGACTCTCGCTACTTGAGTATACCTCCTGGTTGAGTTTGGGGGATGGTGTTATACAACTTATATTGATGATTCATTAGGAGTACTTGTCATTTGTATTTATTGCCTATACATGCTTTATGTATAACTCCAATGACATTTTACTTGTAAATATAGACATGTGATACTCTCCTTTTTCCCTTAATAAATTACTTTTTAGATAATTCTCACTTATTGCATGCCGTGACTCTAAAGTGCAGTATGTAACCATAGAAGTTGGGATTGGTTTGATTTTCAAATGTAGTGTTTAACTATGTAGTATCTGAAGCTTTTCCTACTAAGAATTTTCATGTAAAATGTTGAAGGATCCTTTTTTTTTCTTTTTCTTGCAATTATTTCTTTTATTGATACTTCTTAAAATGTTTCCTTAGGTTGGTGCTGATGATCAAAGCATTCTTGAACAAATAATTGATTCGTTGTCTTCTATTGCTAAACCAAGTGATGATTCTGAGGCTAGAGTTTCCAGGAGAGGAACATATGGATTTTCACTAAAGGTTGGTAAGGTTGGTGAAACAATGGTGCAGACAAGAGATCACATGGAGGAAAGACCGGCGGTTCTAATTTTGGGTGCCGGACGTGTTTGTGAACCAGCTGTTGAGCTTTTAGCATCAAGTGGAAGCGGATCTCATAGCTGGTTTAAAAATCATTTTGGCAGTGATACAAATGGGCCTAAGGATGTTCAAGTGATAGTGGCATCACTCTATCTGAAAGATGCAGAGAAGGTGTGATTATTAAACCTCTAGATGGATATTGCAATCTAGATAATTGTTACTTTAGCTGTCTTTAAGTTAAAAACATTTAGATCTAAAGGAGGATTAATTTAACAAGAAAAATTGGGTTTACATGCATTTTTGTCCTGATTCTTGGAATAATGTAAGCCAGAACTTTTTGTTCCTTTAAAAGACAAAAAATATACAATCTCTTAAAGTCAACTATTAGAAAAACCTATCTGATCGATTATTTTCATATTGTACAAACACATCGAAGTTATTGTAAAGAGATGGTTTGTTGACATAATGTGAGCATAACTTGTATTGTGGCCATTATCCAATCATGTTACTTGTCCGAATCAGCTTTGTTCATCTTGGGATCTTCCCACTTTATCTTTTGGTTACTACTATTTTCCAATGAGTCTTATCTTAACCCCTTGATTGGACTACATAATTTGTTGTGTGTTTTTGCTGTGAATTGATAGTTGAAGATTCTCTAGATATCATATCATCATATGACAGTCGACTACTTTAAATGATATGGGATCATGGCCATGAGAGTCTTATTGAATCAGTATTGCAATCGAGAAACAACTTTTATGTAATTTGGTACTACTACGATTTGGGAATTTTAATTACAAATTAGGTTGTGAATTGTTCTTTTTCCTGTTTATAGGTCCTCTCATAACACAATCTCTTCCTCATAGTTTATAATTGTTGTCTGCTTGTCTTTTGTCTATTCTTTCATGTGACATCAAATGCTCTATGTTGAATATAGATATAATTATAAGAGACAACAAAGTCTAACAAAATTTACTAAAATTTTATTTCATCATAACAAAGAAGTACCAAGGTACACTCACAGTCACACTCCATTTTCCGCAATATAATAATAAACACCTTTTTTTGCCAAACAAGCAAAATAATCTTAAATAATTGGTGTCGTTATGATGCACATTTTTTAAACCCGTACAACACTTAAAGAGAAGAAAAATCTAGGTAACATAACTCTTTACCAAATAACAAAGCATAAAATGCTAAAATTATCTATGTTTTAAATTCATAAGGTAACATTGAATGCCACTTTGCTTCTTGATAGAAGCTAGTGGATGGCTTAACCTCTAGACACGTAGCGGGTTAGTCCTTTTGTAAGTGGTCTTGTGAGGGAATCATCATTCAGTTTTTCTCTGTTTCTTGCCACCTACTTAGATCGTGCTGGACAGCCATTGAGGATTTGAAAGCTCATAACTGGTTGTACTTCATAGTTATTGGGACTTTTGAAAGGGCTTCATATGAGACCTGGAGTTAACATAAACATCCTTCATTTCAAATTTTTTTTTTTTTTTCAATTTGCATACGTATGAGCCACACTATGAAGCTATGGGAGAGAGTGATTGCGTAACAACTAAGACATGAAATGAATGTATCTGAAAACCAATTAGATTTTGTTCTATGGAGTTTAATAATTAAGGCTACTTTCCTACTTAGGCAACTGATTGAGAAGTGTAGGGCAAAGGGAAAAGACCTCCACATGGTCTTTATGATCTAGAGAAAGCTTATGATAGAGTACCTTGGGATTTAATTTGGTGGGTGTTAGAAAAGAAATGAGTCTCTAGATACTCTGTCAACTTGGTGAGAGATATGTACGAGAGAGCGCTAACTAGTGTTCGAACAACTAGCCGGATTAAGATTAAATATATGGAGTGCAAGTTTAACAATAATAGGAGTAGGGACGATGAATTAGTTAAGATTGATGGCCAAGAAATACCAAAAAGAGCGTACTTTTGATATCTTGGGTCAATAATCAAGGAAGAGATTGGGGAAGATGTCATACATAAAATTAGAGCTGGGTGGGTAAAGTGGAGATGTGCAATCGGAGTTTTATGTCATCGCCGCATATCAATAAAGCTGAAGGGGAAGTTCTGTAAAATAGTTGTGAGACCACCTTTGCTTTATGGGGTGGAATGTTGGTCAATAAGAAACATATTCATAGGATGAGCTAAAAAGGAGAAATGTTAATATTTCTTTCAATATAAAGGTAAATATGAGAGATATTTTTTATCTAATATAAAGGAGAAATGTTAATATTTCTCTCAATATAACTTTTGAAATAATTCTCTTTTCTTACGAATGTGAAGATTTTAATATTACTTACTATATTTTTTCTCAGATTATTGAGGATTTTCCAAATGCAATAGCAATTGAGCTTGATGCTATGGATCACAGTAGCCTCTGTAAGTATGTTTCCCAGGTAATGCAAAGGTTTGTGTTCCCTAAATTCACTAAATGTGGAAATGAATGATCATTTTTCACAAAAAATTTTCAGTAATATATACATTGTTAATTGTTCTATATTCAGTGACTATATATATGACTTAATTTGCTAGTATGGGCTGATCTTCTTGCCTAGTATATTAGTCTACCATCCATGGAATTTTAATCAACTAATAAATAAAAAATGATAGTTATGGTTGTTATATGATCATTATGTTTGATAGTTTTTACTTTTTAGAAACTCACCTATCATGTATTCATATTTACCTTTATCCAAAGATTGTTCATATTCAATTTCCCCTTTAAATAGTTTGAAAGTAATTTGACGACATAGAAATTTCTATGAATATTTCAATTATGTGCTATAGTTAAAACTTAGCAATGACACACTCTCTCTCTCTCTCTCTCTCTCTCTCTCTCTCTCTCTCTCTTCTCGTCTGTCTAGTACGTTACGTACTACGTACTTAACGTAACTAACTAACGTAACTTAACGTTAACGT